GAAGGGGGGTCCGCCCCGGCTCCGGGGTGGTGGCCCAGAGAGGGGTCCCGGGAGCCTGAGTTCCAAGCGGGGGCACGAGGAGCGGAGGGTGCTGCAGGCTTCCCGCCGGGATCACCGGTCCCGGGTCGTCTGCGGGCGCAGAATCGGGAGGGACACTTCGGGGTGTCGAAGCCTGGGGAGGGTCCCCGGCCGCGCGGCCGACCCCTGGGTCCCGGCTGGAAGGAGAGGGGAGGAAGGAGCTCTGAGTGAGTTAATCACCAGGAGCGCCTCCTGAGTCACCCCCCCCCCAGTGCCAACGACGTAAAAGTGCTCACTGAGTCACTTCTCTGGTCCCCAGCGACTCACAAACCCAGGACTACAAATCCAGTTGGAAACCAAGTGCTTTAGTGGCAAAAGGAGTTTCCCAACCATCGTCTCAGGCGGCAAGCCCAGAAGTCTGGCCCTGGAGCCGCCACCCGGGCCCTTGTCCCCGTCCACCCGGAAGCCGGCCTCGCCGTCTGCACGGGGTCAGGTCCTGCAGGAACCAGGCTCACTGTGTGAAGAGTGTTTCCCCGTCGTCCTGGCTGCTCTGCCCGGTGACCTTGAGCCTCCAGGCCTCCTCCCTGGCCCTGAGACTCTGCTGGGTGAGGGTTTAGATCCCTGCCTTCTCTGACTCAGTGTTTCCGACCCGTTCCCTCCTTTGTCCCCTTGCCCAGTGGTGAGCACATGGGAAGGGGTTGGCCTCTGGTGTGGGACTGAGCCTTCCAGAATCCCGTAGCTGAGCAAATCCTCAGTTTGTGGGTCGGGACTTGGAGTGAAGGCTTTGCATCTTGTCGGCTTTGCTTTTAATTCGTCCTAATTTTTAAGAAAGTGGATTATAAAGAGAATAGATCTGAGGATGAGGCAAGACGCAGAAAGAGCGTCGGTGAGCAGTGACCTCTCCTCCCATGCTGGGCCAGGCACCGTGATCCAAAGGTGAGTAAGGCTTGATCTCACCAGCACAGCGCTTGGGGACCAGGGGAGCCACGTATGGGTCATCTGGTTACCCAACCTGCTTCCTTCAACTAGTAGAGATTGTAAACTCCCAACCTGAGTCAGCCTTAGGAGTGGACAAGCATGCGGCCTTCCCAAAAGGCCCAGCACACCTAACCAGGAATGGAGAACAGAGGCAGGCCAGTCCCCTGCCATCTGCATATGGTTTCGAGTAATAAAACACCTATTTTTTTTTATTTTGTTAAAAATAGACTTGTGGATCCTGTGACTGAACATTCCAGAGTAAAGACTTCAGGTGAGGCTTGATCCAGCAACTCAAAACTATCACCTAGGAGTCTTTTTCTGTCCACCTCGCCTCTCTGCCTTCCACAGGGTCTACCTACTTCATTTGGGGGCATTATAAGATGCCTGAGCTCCGTGGCTGAGAACCACTTTTATCCTTTGAAGTCCAGCCCTGGGAAAAAAAGCATCCCTATTTCCCAGGATTCTCCTCTCTGATCGGTCCGTTTTAAGGTCCTAGGCCACCCCTGAACCCATCCTAGTGGCCAGGAAGATGGAATGTGCTGGACAGCTTGGCCAAAATCCCATGCTTCGTCTCTGGCAGCGGGGTGACACCAGTGTCCCTGACTCTACCTGCAGGCTTTACGGGGATCTAGTCCTGATGGGAGGTCGCACGTGGCCGGGAGGTTGACCCCCATGGGGCTATGCAACTCGGGCAAGTCACCCCCCCCCAGTTTCTCTATTGCCAAGTGAGTGGTTGGATGAGCCGGTCCCCCAGACTCGCCATGTCACCAGACCTCTCCTCTGTGTGTCCAACCCCAGGGAGGGGTCCTGAGGGTCACGGCACCGCTGCCCTCCGGCCTGTCTGGGCTTCGAGGGCTCCACTGCACTTCCCCCCAAGCACCAGCCCCGAGCCCGCCTTCCTCCAGGGACACGCTGAACCGCGGTCCTGGGGCCCGGCTGATTCAGCTCCCTGGGGCCCGGGGCTTCAGGACTGAGGTGAAGGATCGGGGCCGCAAGTCCCTGGAGAAAGAGAGTTGTTTGTTTATCTTGACTCATAAAAAGCCACACAAGAAGGAGGTTTAGAAGCTTCGGGCAGGTTATGGACGCCATAAACGCGGCTGATGTGATATTTTTAGGATGAAAAATTGCCCAAGATGGAAGAGAAGCAAGTCAAGCTCCTCAGGGCACCAGGGCCGTCTCCCTCTCCCTCTCCCCAGAAAAACCACCTTAGACATTGTCAGGAAGACAAAGAGGGCAGATCAAGCGTGAGTCCAGGCGTGTCTACGATGCCCATCTCAGCACCAGGAGACCCAGCTGGTTTGGGTAGTGCTGGGGCCTCTGGGAGCAGGGGTGGCCTCCCGGGTTTACTAAGCCGAGAGGAGCAGGAGCAGCCATTTTGTGCTAGGAGGCGCCCTGCCCACAGCTCTCACAGTAGGGAAGGGGAGACTGGGAGGCGAGGACAAGACAGAGCCCAGGACCGCCTGAGACTGGAGTCCCCGGGACTTATCCAGGTTCATTTAGCCACTCAGCAAAGGCTAAATGAACCTATTTATGTGCCAGGCCTCAAAATATAGGCATGAAGAGGATTCCGCCCCCCCCCCCAGGAACTTTCCTTTTTAAATACAGTCCCTGTGCTTGCTTGGCAGGAAACCAGAGCCCTCAAGACATTCCTGCTGATTTGTGGGGTTCCCTTCCCATCCCGAACCCTAACTTGTTCCCTTCTCTCAGTGAAGGTAGAGTAAACCGTGATCCTACAGGGCCCGGCTGTTGGAGGGCCCGGCCCTGAGCTGGGGGCTGTGGGGGGAACCAGAGGAGGGGTCTTTACCCCTAGGAGTGCCAACAGGTGAGGGGATGTGACAGCAAGAGCAGGCCCAGGCCCCCTCCCAGCTCAGCCCCTTGTACCTCAGGCTTTCATGGCTGTCACCTCCTCGATGCCTCCTCTGTAAGACGGGCCCCGCAACAACGGGGCCTTGGTTGTAAGGATTAAATGAGATGCCTCCTTCTCTCCACTGAGCCTGGCACATAGTAGGTGCTCAGAAAACGTGGGGCGCTATTGGTTTCAGGAGCAGGTGGGATGAGCCCGGGGCCCCTGGGCAGGGGGTGGGCTGATGTGGTTTTCTGATGACTGTTGAGCGGGTCACTGCTGTCCCTGGGCTGCCTTGCTCTCACCGAGGGGAGGGGGAAAGGTGGGGAGAGTGAGACCTCTGTCCTAAGGCCGCCGTGGGGAGGGGGCCCAGGGCAACGGCCTCCTGTGGAGTAGCCTCTTGTCTATTTTTATCCCCCCCCCCTGCTCCTGCCGTGGGGTACCAGAGAACTGGGGCTCCGCAGAACTTCTTCTGAATTTAAATAAACTTCAGACTAAGAGTTAAATTTAGTGAAACACACAATTTCTGGTTTTGTTTTGCTTTTAATCTCAATCATGCGTTTCTTTTTGGGTTATTAGAGTCTGCTTGCACCCAGACTCTGCAAATGGACCTGTCTTTGCTCTTCAAAGAGTCTAAAAATGCCCCCAAAGTTTCACTTCTGCGTCAGAGCAGGGGAGGGGAGCAGGTGGCTCACCTGCCTCTGAGCCTCCCCGTGCCCTGTGCCGGGGACGCCCTCCCGCCCCCCAGGAATCTGGGACTCTCCCAGGGGCTCTTGAGCTCCAGGATCCCTGGACCTGTGGCCAGAGGATCCAGGAAGCCAAAGGCCCCCCGTCCCTCCGCAGGCAGGCTGCGGAGAGGCGTCACCTGGAACCCCCACTCCCTGTCCCCTGTTCCCGAGAAGGAAGTGGCCTCAGGCGGGAGCCCAGCGCGGACTCCAGGTGCCCAGCTGCGCGGCTGAAACGGTGGGGTTTCAGGCGCAGCCCAGCGCATCAGCAGAGGGAGCTCTAGGTAGCAACTTTGCTCTGGCCGCCGTTTCCTGTGGAAAAGATCTGGTGACCTGGAGGGAAGGCAGGGTCCTGAGCAGAGCTGGTGTCCTGCGTGGGCGCCCAAGGAAAGCCTGTCGGTTTGCCAGGACGGGGGTCCAGGGTCGCGCTGGAGGGGAGAGGGCGAAGGAAGAGACGCGGATGGAGAAGAGCAGAGCCCACCCCGCTGCCCGGGACTCTGACCTTGCTCTCAAACAGCACCTTGACCCTTCGAGGTCTCAGCCTTGACGGGACCCCTGCCCGGCTCTCAGAGGGGACGAGTCCACATCTCAGACCAGACTGGTAACGTTTTCCTTTAAAACAAATAGTTGTACGTGTGTATGTCCGTGGTGCCTCATCTGACCCTTGGCTCCAGGCCTGACTGTACCCATGAATAGCGCAGTGAGAACAGTGGCAATGACCTTGAGAGTAAGAAGCATTTATTGAGCACTTGCTGGATACCAAGCTCTGTGCCACAGACTTTAACCAAGCACATTCACTAAATGTTTATTGAGAAACTAGTTAGTGCACAGATCGGGGCTTATGCTGGGGATTCATGGGAATTCAACCACCACGGACAAGACTCAGAAGGAGCCTGGGGTCGCAGACCTTTCATTCTGTGGACAGACTTGTGTTTAGGTACATAGATACCTAAACAAGCACCGCCAGACAGCGAAGGGCACCACGAGGAAGAGCGTGATCTGCCCGAGTGACCAGAGCAAGGCCCGTCTCCACAGTGACCTTGGAGTGTCCAATGACCTTCACATTAAATGCAGCTGTCCTCTGACTCCTTGGTGCATCGTCTATTAATCAAATAACTGGATCTATTTTGTTTTCTAAATGTCTATAAATAACTGTCAGGTTATATATATATATATGAAAAGTGCTGCATCCATTGCAGTTCTTACGTCTTGGGGTTTTTCACAAACAATGATTCATAAAAACTGAACCACCTGTGTGGGCAAGGGTACAGGGGCTGTGCCGTTTTTTCAGAAAGTTTTGAATCCATGAATGAGTCACATGTCAGTCACCGTCCAAGGACAGCTCAGCCCAGGATGGTTGTCCTGATTTGAATAGCGGCTCACAGGGACCCATCAGCTGCAGGACACAGGGACGGTGACAAAACAAGACAAGAGAAACCTGTATTAATCATGCAACAAGGGTGGCCCAGAGGGGCACCACCCACACCAGGAGGTCAGACGCCGGGTCCTGCTGGACAAGAGGCCGGGTCTGAGACCCGCACCTGCTCCTCACTAACTCTGGGGCCGTGGGCCAGCCAGTTTCTGTTCCTGTTTCTTCCTCGTCTGCGAAGCTAGTAGGATGCTGCGCTCTCCTCCTGGGTTTATCACGAGACTAGATAAACCACTGATAGTTCAACAGCACTTGAAGCAGCGCCAGGCACCTAACCACGCCAGGAATCAGACCCCCAAAGGATTAGAAAAACAATGAGAACCTGATAAAATAAATGCCCCTATAGCGGGAGAAATCAAGCCCTTCCTTTTCCATAGCAGGCAGATCCACAGGGGCAGGTAGGAAGGAGGAGAAATTGCCAAGGGCAGGCTTCCAACTCCACACCACAGCCTCACGGAGAAGCCGGCCCACCCGAACAGAAAAGAAGTACCATTTCCTCACCCTCATGAAGTACGTGGTCAACCCGGACACCAGGGAAACCGCAGCAGATGAAATAAGAGATTTCTCTCAAGCCAAAGTCTCTGGGATCGTGATCCCATAATATCAGACACACTTTATTATTTTATTGCCTCCTTTCTTTCTCACTTTCTCTTTCACTTTTTTTCCCCTCCTTATTTTTCTTTACCTTCCTCATATCGGAGAGAACCTTGGACCTTTGGCTTTCTGGGGCTGGCTTATTTCACCGTGTGATCGTCTCAGTTCCCTTCATTCACCGGCAAATGTCATGACTTCACTCTTCTTCACGGCTGAGTAGTATTTCACTGGGTCTACGCCCCACGTTTTCTTTATCCATTCATCTATTGAAGGACACCTAGGTTGGTTCCATAGTTTAGCTCTTGTGACTCGAGCTGCTATAAACATTGAGGTGACCGTGTCCCTGTAATATGCTGATTTGAAGTCCTTTGGGTATAAACTGCAGTAACTGGGTCAAATGGTGGTTCCAGTCCAGATGTTTTGAGAAACCTCCATTCTGCTTATCAGAGTGGTTGTACCAGTTTGCAATTCCATCAACAGTATATTAATTTTAATAATTTAAAATTTGAAAAGCAATCCTAGAGGATAAAAAAAATCAATCTTTTTTTTTGAAAAAAAAAATAATAAAACAGGGCTGGGGTATAACTCAGGGACAGAGCGCTTGCCTAGCATGGGCAAGGCCCTGGGGCCCATTCCCAGCACCATTGAAGACAAACATTTGATACCAAAACCTACAGGAAACAAACAAAGTTGAAGTCAGAGGAAAATGAATGGACTACAATGTCTTCGTGATAAAGAATGACTCATAGAACAATGAGGGGATTTATTATGGACTCAGGACTTTAAAAGTAAGAACAAAGAAAACTGAAAAAGAGATTTAGATAGAAAATTGATAATGATACGGACGGGGCTTAATGAAATAAAAAGCACAAACAAACACAGAAAGGAACAATAAGTCCAAAGTTGTCTCCCCACCCTGTTTGGGGGCTGGGGACGGAGCCCAGGGTCTTGCAGGTGCGAGGTGAGCAGGCCGCTGTCGAGCTACACTCCCAGGCCCCCAAAAGCTCCTTTTTAAATACCAAATAACCCACTCAAACCTGATTTAGAAAAAATATATATTTAGAAAAAATGTATAGTTATTAAAAAAAAAGAAAATTACAGAAGGGAAGGAAAATGGAGGAGGAAATATCATGTGCAATTCTAAGCCCAGACATTTGAAAACTTAAAGTGCTGATTTTATGAAAGCAGTGTAAAAATGACCCAAGCTGCAGCAGAAACGTGAAAGAAACCAGGTACTAGGAAGAGAAGGAGGGCTGGGGCTGAGGCTCAGTGGTAAAGCACTTGTCTTGCATGTGTGAGGCACTGGGTTCGAGTCTCGGCACCGCATATAAATAAATGCATAAAATAAAAGTCCATCAACAACTAAAAAAAAATTTAAAAGATTATTTTTAAAAAATGAAGAAGAAGAAAAAGAAGAGGAGGAGGAGGAGGAGGAAGATTCTAAAGCTCTACATTCCCAGGGCTGAGTTGACCATCACCTTACATAACAAAGATTCTGCTTTGTGAGTTAAACAATTTCCAATCATACACAGTGGTTCTCAGATTTGACTCCATAACAGGGTCACGTGGTGAGCTTTTAAAAACTAATGAGGTTCCAGCTCCACCCCAGAAACTCCTATCCAGTTGGCCCCGGGGTGAGCCAGACCCCTGCGTCTCTAAGCGGCCTCCGGGTGAGGTTGGTGTTCAAGCGGTGGTCCATGACTGTCTCAGAGCAACGGACAGATTTTTCAATTCCTTAAGAACCCAATCGCAGTAAAGAGAGACCAGAAAAGAAAACTACAAGGAAATCTTACTTATGAATAAAGGCAAATCTCCTGAGTCCACTATTGCACTGAAAGAATAATAGGAGATGACCAAGTAGGGCTTGTTCCAGAGACTCAGGAATGTCTTGAACCCAAGATCCACAGAGCCGCCGAGAATTTCATCCATAATTTAAGATGAAGCTGAGAAGTCGTGTGACGACATTGGGTAGAAATTCCTAATGAGACACCACGTAAAACATCAGTAGAAGGAAATCACCTAGATATAATGAAGGTTTTTAAACAACAAACAAACAAAAAAAATTCAAAATGACTAAAGTTAAGACAATAATTACAGAGTAAGAAAACAAAGTCAGTGTAA